GGAAGAACTATTTTTTTTTACGTGAGGGGCTCCCACTTTTGACGTTCCCCGTAGTTTGGAATCCTATGTGTGAGAGTTTCGCGATGACTGCAAATATGGCGAAGAGGATTGAGGAATCTGGGTTGTGTGATGTGGTATTTGATCCGAGGAGTTTGATACCGACGGTGACGGGTCAGCATCGTATATCCTTTTGTTGCCTTGACTTGTGTTCCTCTTCTTTGTTGTTTTTTTTTTTTTTTTTTTTTGTAGTTTATATCCCATGTTTCTTATGTATTTTATCTCTTGTAGATGGGGGTATCACCTTTGCGGCACTTCAAGCTAAGGCGAATGGGACGTCGAAGAAGGCATCGAAGAAGGCATCGAAGAAGGTACCCTCTACCTTGGGAGGTTCTTCAAATGGTTTGCCTTGTGAGGAGGTCCATGTAGAAGCTCCTCGAGTAGTCGCAGATGATCGTAGCAGTGCTGGTGAAGTGGAGGGGCGTCCACCGACGAGGGACCGTGGCAAGGGGAAGAGGGTGGATACCGAGTATGTGGCTGTGCCTAAGCGTCCACGGGTAGAGCCAGAGGAGACTTATGCTTTCCATGGTGGAGGAGGGAAACAGCTGTTTACTTATGGAGTAAACCGCGATGGTAAGGAGTCGTACTGGGATGTGTCGGATTATGATTTGCCGATGTTGAGTACCGAGGGTTTCGTTCGAGAGTATGATCGTGTTCGGATGTCTGGTAAGGGTCCTTCTCATATGCTAGAGTTAGCTGGTGGAGACATATGTCGGGTGAGTACTTGTCTATTTAAAACAAGATTTTATGTTTTATTCTCTCTTGGCTTGCGAATAATATTGTTATTATTATTATTATTATTTTTTTAGTTGGTAGCGACTTGGAGATACCTCGTGGAGCACGGTAGGAATGCAGAAGCTAGTAAGGAAGAGGATCGGGCTCGAAGTCAAGCACGTGAGGATGAGCTTCTAAGTCAGTTGGAGGAAGCGCGGTCCGATCTCGCTCTACGTTCTGAAGAGCTTGCTCGGAGGACAGAGGAGCTTGCTGAGAGGACGGAGGAGCTCGAGGTTCTCCGGGGTGATGCGAAGGCTTATAAAGATGATGTTCATAAGTTGAACAAATGCTACGATCAGCTTAAAGAGAAGTATGAAGCTGAGAAGGCGACGGGGAAGAGGTTCCTCGCGACATCAGGTGGTGCGGCTTATAAGGAGTCCATTGTGGAGGAGACTAAAGCTAGTTTCCGAGGTAGTGATGAGT